AAAAGCCGCTTCCCTCCCAAGGCCCACGTGCCCGAGGCAGGAGCAACTTCAGGGGCCGTTTGTCGGCAGCATCTTAACGAAGGGCAGGCGTAAGGACGGAGCGTTGGCCCGAGAGCTGGACACGGGGGGATTGTGGAATAGCCTCTTGGGAGTCCCGTGGGCCAGGCTTTGGCCTCTCTTCAGTGTTGCCCTGGGAGCCCACCTGCGCACACGTGGCTAGAGCAGCCCCCGGGGTAGTGCTGGGGGAAAGGGACACTCGGGTCCCCGCAGAAGGACACGAAGGGAGGACTCCCTGCCCTAGGCGGATGCCCTGGCCGCGTTCCTCCGGCCGTGCGCAGAGCCTGCCTGCCGGTGCCTCGCCCAGCGCGCCGGCACCACGAGGAGCCCTGTGGCACTTGCACCGACACCGACATTGTGGCAGACGCTGAGGAGCCACAGGACTGACCCGGCTCCCCCGGAAACCATCTGCCAGCTGGCTCCAGCGAACTGCCTCGGCCAGAATCCTAGAAGCCCAGGGCGGGCAGAGGCCTCAGGAGGAGCCGAGTCCAGCCCCCTCCCAAGCCAGGACCAACCCAACGCAATCAGCCCAGCCAGGGCTGTGTCAAGCCAGGACTCAAAACCCTCCAGGGATTCCACCCCTCCCGAGGGAACCCCTCCCAGTGCTTCCGCCCTCCTAGCCCCCCGCTGCGAGCTGAGCCCATTGCGCCTCATTCTGCCCCCTGCCCCACTGAGAGCAGCCTCTCGCCAGCCCCTTTGAACCCCCCTGCAGGTAGCTGCAGGCTGGTCTCAAATCCCCCCTCGCTCTGCTCTGCTGCAGACTGAACAAGCCCAAATCCCTCAGCCCCTCCTTGCAGGCCATGTGCTCCAGCCCCCTCAGCATTTTCACTGCCCTCCGCTGGACCCTCGCCGATGCGTCCACACCCTTCGGTAACGAGGGGCCCAGAACTGGTTGCAGTTCTCCCGATGGGGCCTCTCTAGATCAACTGTCACTCACCTTGAACACGCCAATGATGGAATCAGCTCGCACAGCCCTTGAGTTCAGCACCTAGCAAGCAGACCCAAGCCTTTGGTTCATCATTCTTGTGCTGGGGTATAAAGTCCCTTCATCCCTCCCTGCCCCGAAGGACGATGCAAGGGGTCTATTGCCCACAGGTGCTGGCGTGAAGGGGCTGTAAGTCTGATTCTCCAGTGTCTTGCACCCTGGCTCATCACTCAGCCTGTGTAAAATGCTACAGAATCAGAACTTTGCCTGCACTTGGCCCAGAAAAGACGGCACAAGGTGCAAAGCAGAGAATTGGGCTTCAAGTCTCCAAAGCCCCAATGGCCCGCAGGCTTGGTGAATATAAAGTTCACAGACTGATACATCTGAAGGCCAGAAGGACCGAGTGTGACTGTCTGACCCTGCGTAACACGGTCACAGGACTCCCTGCGCTTGTTCTTCTGGGAGGCCCATCGCTGTGGCTGAGCTAAAGCAGAGGTTTTAGAAAAGCATCCAACCTCCATTTAAAACCGGTCTGTGATGAAGAATTCACCATGCCCCTTGACACCGTGCTCCGGTGCGTCACACCCTGGGTTAGAAACGTACTCCTTGGCTGTGTCTACATTGGCACCCTTTTCCAGAAAAGGGATGCTAATGAGACCAGTCGGAATTGCAAATTCAAGTAGGAATAAGGGATCTTCCGGAAAAGGGCTTATTTTCCGCAAGATCCCGTCTAGTCTGGCGCTTTTCTCTGGCAAAACCCCGAGCCGGAAAAAAGCGGCAGCCATGTTCATGCAAAAGCCCCCGGGGGGATTTAAATGGCAGCCATGTTCATGCAAATGCCGCAGGGGATATTTAAATCCCCCGCGGCATTTGCAATTCCGACTGGTCTCATTAGCATCCCTTTTCCGGAAAAGAGTGCCAATGTAGACACAGCCCTTATGTATAGGCTGCACTCGCCTGGCTTCAGCTCTCAGAGACTGGACTTTGTTACCCTCTGGCTGCTAGACTGAAGAGCTTGCTTGTCACCTGGCCTTATATAGGAACTTCTAGACTGTGTCCAAGTCACTGGGCACGCCCCACGTCCCAGCCCCCTTCGACAAGCTAAATCGACTCAGCTCCCCGGGTCTCCCACCCTCAGGCACATTTTCTACCCCTCAGACGTTCCTGTGGCCCATCTCCGACCCCTTCCAATCGACACCCATCTGATTTAAAACGCAGGCACAAAACTGGAGCCGGTGGCCTGGTCTCAGTGCCACACTGATACAAGAGCTGTCCAGCTGCTCTGGCTTCCTGAGCACGGCACAGAACCATTGCTGTGCCCTCGCTGACCGCCAATGGGCAGAAGGGAGGCGAGGCGTCTCGCCCGTCAGCTGGCCTGCCCCTGGAGAGACGGGGCGGAGGCAGCGAGCTGCAAGGAACCGGCTCCAGGGGCTGACTATTGTACCTGTATGTTTATGGTCTCGTCGAAGAGCTGAGTAGGCGTCTCGTGGAAGTTCTGGAAAAATATCTGAGGAAAGCGGGGAGAGGGGCATTTAGCACAGTCCCAGCCCTGCCGGTGCTGTCTGGGGAGCCCAGGGCTTCACGCCCATGCAGCCAGGGCGGGCAGTTGTGGCTGGATGTATTCATGGAGGTTTCATTACAGGCCAGTCTCTAATGAAAGATTAGCCTTTAATTCCTGCAGGCTGCAGGACAACCCTGGAGGGGCGGGAGCCCAGCCTGCAGCACCACTCCCCCCTCACCCCCTGGGGAGCCCGGTCCAGACACTAGGGGTGAGAACTCAGGGCCGCCCGCCTCCCTCCAGCAATCTCGCCTCCCACGCCCGCAGTAACTGGTGCCCTGAGACCACCCTTGGAACTGACGCCAGGCCCGCCCAGCGTGATACATCCCCCACGCTGCCCACCCACCTCGTTGAAATAGGGGTTGTTCCCGGTCTGGATTCTTGTCCTGAACACGTGGTCGCCGATGAAGACCTTCACCACGGGCTTGATGTTGTTTCCCTGCAACTGGCGGCCTTCAATGATCTTCACGCGCACCTGCAGAGAGGAGCTAGAGGGTCTCGGGCAGGGATGTTCGGTTTTCCCAGCTGGGCTCCGCTGCGGGAACGGGCGCCCTGGGGCACCACGGAAGGTGAGACCTGCTGCTGGCCACGCAAGCCCAGAACACGAATCCCCGCTCGGTTCGGCACAGAGCCCGGTGCGGGAAGAAGCCCCTGAGGCAGCAGGAAGAAACCCCCGAGGCAGCAGGAAGAAACCCCCGAGGCAGCAGGAAGAAACCCCCGAGGCAGCAGGAAGAAACCCGTGCATGAAGGAGCATGGAGGGGACATTGGATCTGCTGCTGTGGGGAAGGACGGACTTGGCCTTTGAGTGCTGAGCACCTTTGCCATCAGGCTGGGTGGACTGGGGGTTCCCGCTCCTTGTGCCTTGGGTCACAGTACCTGGAAGTCCTGTTTTTTGTCTGCAAGTGCTTTCCTGGGACTTAGCCGGCTGCTTATTCCTTCCTTCCAGTGGCCCTCTCCCGTAAGACGGCAGAGGGCCGTGCTGACCCTGCTGCGTGGGCCTGGGACGGTCAGAAAGGGGTGGGTGACCTGGCAGAATAACCCTGTTCCCCGGAGCAAGTCAGAACGAGCATTTTCCGCCCCTGGGGCAGCTTTGCCAGGAAGGGGGACAGACCCACTTGGCACACTGGTGTTCAGGGCCGAAGCCCTGGCCCAGACCCCTGGCTCTGAGGAGCCTAACGCACCCGTTCTCAAAGCGCCACGACGTGCATGATTCACACTACACGTGAACCACACTGTGCCAATGGGGGTGAGCTCTGCTCTTCACAGGGGAGACATGAGACCCCGTAATGCCCTGAGCAGGCTACATGTGGGCTGGGCAGCTGCCTGGATGCTCCCTCTCACAATTACGTTCCAAAGCTAGCGGGGCCCACGGTGATCATCTCATCGGAGCCCTTGCACCCAGGTCAGAGTCCTGCCCACAAGTAATTCCTAGGGCAGAGCTATTCAAACATCCAGCCTGGAGCTTAAAATTGCCCACCGAGGAGACTCCAGCGTGCCCCTTGGTAAGTGGTTAATGGCTGCTGCTAACAACGTGTGTCTGAGTGCGTCTGGCTTCATTTTCCAGCCACGGGGCCGTGCTAGCCTTTCCCAAGCGCCCACTGTCAAACATGTCAGGTCCTGAGAGCCTGCTCACGCGTGAATCATAGAATCCTAGAACACTAGGACTGGAAGGGACCTCGAGAGTCATCGCGTCCAGCCCCCTGCCCTCATGGCAGGGCCCAGTACTGCCTAGAGCATCCCTGATAGACATTTATCTAACCTGCTCTTCAATATCTCCAGAGATGGGGATTCCACAACCCCCCTGGCAATTTATTCCAGTGTTTCACCACCCTGACCAGTAGGAACTTTTTCCTAATGTCCAACCTCAACCTCCCTTGCTACAGTTTAAGCCCATTGCTTCTTGTTCTATCCTCAGAGGTCAAGATGAACAAGTTTTCTCCCTCCTCCTCATGACACCCTTTTAGATACCTGAAAACGGCTATCATGTCCCCCCTCAATCTTCTCTTTTCTAAACTAAACAAACCCAATTCTTTCAGCCTTCCCTCATAGCTCATGTTCTCTAGACCTTTCATCATTCTCGTTGCTCTTCTCTGGATCCTCTCCAATTTCTCCACATCTTTCTTGAAATGCGGTGCCCAGAACTAGACACAATACTCCAACTGAGGCCTAACCAGCACAGAGTAGAGCGGAAGAATGACTTCTCCTGTCTTGCTCACAACACACCTGTTAATGCAGCCCAGAATCATGTTTTCTTTCTTTGCAACAGCATCACACTGCCGACTCATATTCAACTTGTGGTCCACTATAACCCCTAGATCCCTTTCTGCCGTACTCCTTCCTAGACAGTCGCTTCCCATTCTGTGTGTGTGAGACTGATTGTTCCTTCCTAAGTGGAGCACTTTGCATTTGTCCTTATTAAACTTCATCCCATTTACCTCAGACCATTTCTCCAATTTGTCCAGGTCATTTTGAATTCTGACCCTATCCTCCAGAGCAGTCGCAACCCCTCCCAGCTTGGTATCATCTGCAAACTTACTAAGCGTACTTTCTATGCCAATATCTAAATCGTTGATGAAGTTATTGAACAGAGCCAGTCCCAAAACAGACCCCTGCGGAACCCCACTTGTTATACCTTCCACCAGGATTGAGAACCATTAATAACTACTCTCTGAGTACTGTTATCCAGCCAGTTATGCACCCACCTTATAGTAGCCCCATCTAAGTTGTATTTGCCTAGTTTATTGATAAGAATATCATGTGAGACCGTATCAAACGCCTTACTGAAGTCTAGGTATACCACATCCACCGCTTCTCCTTTATCCACAAGACTCGTTATCCTATCAATGAAAGCTGTCAGATTGGTTTGACACAATTTGTTCTTTACAAATCCATGCTGGCTGTTCCCTATCACCTTGCCACTTTCCAAGTGTTTGCAGATGATTTCCTTAATTACTTGCTCCATTATCTTCCCTGGCACAGAAGTTAAACCAACTGGTCTGTAGTTTCCTGGGTTGTTCTTGTTTCCCTTTCTATAGATGGGCACTAGATTTGCCCTTTTCCAGGCCTCTGGAATCTCTCCTGTCTCCCAGGATTTTCCAAAGATGATAGCTAGAGGCTCAGATCCCTCCTCTATCGGCTCCTTGAGTATTCTAGGATGTTTCATCAGGCCCTGGTGACTTGCAGGCATCTCACTTTTCTAGGTGATTTTTGACTTGTTCTTTTTTATTTCACCTTCTAAAACTAGAATGATCAAAGGGTTGTGAAACAGCCCCCCCTTTTGAGCCACCTTTTCGTTAAACTAAGCAGACTGAGCCCGTCTCTCTCGCTGTGAGGCCGGTTTCACAACCCTTTCATCATTCGTGCGGCTTTTCTGTGTCCTCTTCGAGGGCTCAGCATCTTCCCTTTTAGCGTCAGGAAGCTGCCATCTCTACTGTTTACAGAGCCCAGGGACATTCCAGCACTGGCAGCATGAGACGGGCAACGTGTCCTGCTCGGATCAGTTCCCACCCACGGGACCGGCCCATGGCCCAGAGCCGGTGCAGAGAGGGAAGGGAGACGCGGCAGGTACGGGCAGGAAACGGAAGGACTGGGAACAGTCCCTTACTCGAGGTGGGCATGGATGTGGGGGATGGAGTCAGGTTTGGGGCACGTTTTCCTCACCCCAGACTTGTTCCTAAAACTCAAGAGAACTCTCCTCACAAGACCCCAAGGCCAAGCTGATCTGGAAAATGTAAACGTGAGTTACCTGTGCAGCATCCCCCACCTACAGCTGTTTACTCACCTTCACCACTGGCTTTTTCTCTCCCTGCCTCCTCTCTTGCCTGGAGTCTGGGAGGGGTGCAGGAGGCACTTACGCTGATGGTGCACTAAAGAATAAGAGGGTTAGTCCACCTCCTCTGGCTCAGAGTGACACTGTCCAGGCCCAAGAGCACAGGGACCCTACCCCGGCTCGTCCCAGCCTGCACACAAACCTCAGGCCGGCTCTGTTTATTTCCAGCCCTTCAGGGGCGGCACCAGCCCCTAATGCTTCACCTTTCTCTAAGGGTGCATGGGGCTTAGCACAGAGCTCCCCAGACTGTGGGGGCATGTCCCCTAGGGGGCACAGAGGAACAAGCAGGGGTGTGCGGCTGGGGCCAGAGCCCGCCCCAAGGAGGGGCATGGGGAAGATGCGTGTCCCGGCTGCTGGCCCCAAGGCTGTGCACACAATCCCACCCCCAGCCTTGGCCCCCCTACTCCTGTCCAGTCAGGCGGGGAAAGTGGAAAGAGGCTGGTCCACCCCCAAGACCCCTTTTCCCCAGAACTGTGCCCCACCCTGCTGACCACCAGCCTTCCCAGAGAACAGCCAGGCGTGGGCTTAGCAAAGAAAGTTTCGGGGCCTCTGCGCTCTGGCGCCGGGCTGCTCTCAGTGGGGACAGGTGGCAGAACGAGGAGCAGCGGGCCCAGGTTGCAGGAGGGGCACCTAGGTTGGATATTAGGACAAACTGTTCCCCTAGGCGGGTGGGGAAGCGCGGGGCTGGCTCCCTGGGGAGGTGGCAGACTCTCCATCCCTAGAGGTTCTTAAGGCCTGGTGTGACACAGCCCTGGCTGGGATGGGTTAGCTGGGCTTGCTCCTGCGTTGGGCATGACTGCCCCCTGGTGGGCACAACTGGGATACCCAAGGGGCGGGGCAGGAACAGAGCTATAAAAGGCCAGCCCACTAGCTCAGTCCCTGCGGAGGTGCTGGAGGAGCAGGATGTCTCTCTCCCACGGCTGGACCCCGCACCTGATGGGAGCTGCCAGGCACTGAGGAGCTACTGGGGCTGACGCTCGCCATTGACCAGAGGCCGATGACAACCCCAAAACCCAGGTACCCCTGGAGTGGGAAGGGGCCCAGAGAATCTGAACGGGGTCAGGGATGGCACCCTCCCATCTGTGTGCCAGGAGGCCTCCGTTGGTCCGGCCCTGCCTGAGCTAGGGCAGAAGATGGTTTGCTGACTCGCCCAGCCTGCAGCAGGCCAGCACCCCTGGCAGCTGGGAGGGGAGGGGCCGGGAGTCAGCGGTGCAGGGTGGCGGTGGGAGGGGAGGGGCCGGGAGTCAGCGGGGGCGGGGCCCGGCTGG